ATACTGTGAAATTTTATTTACCGTTTGTCGACCGTACACAGTGTTATTGACTTTGAATGTTGCTAGCATAACATTAGCTCTGTACTGTAGCTGAGCCAAAGCGCTCTATGAGTGGAGGCAACTAGAAACATCTCCCATTGCCTAGTCGTATCTATGGTCCGTCCTATTTTCTGGAGTAGTGAACAGTGTTTCAATTGCATTAGACATTTATGGGAAGGTAATGATTCTTCCAGGTATAAGTCTAACCCTCAGATGTTACCTGGGAAACTGAGTTATGGCTTTTAAAAAACTTTAGATTTTGATTGCGAAACACATAAAATCTAAAAATATAATTATCTTATTTTTTTTCTTTGGCAGAAATTAATGGACTTCGCAAAGGCAACCGTCCAATATGGTTCTGGCCATTAATTCCTGATAATGTACACCTCGTCTGGCCTTATCCCTCACATAGTCCACAGAACAGTGCCAGTTTTCATAAAGACTGTTTCTCCAGTTGATGACATGAATCTTGGCCAAGCAACTTGGGCATGTATACATGAAATGCATTTATTATAAATATACCTACTAGTACATGAATGAATAAATAAATGTTCACGGAGGACACGTTGACAGGTCGTAGTAGCAAGGGCACTGGTAATCAAATGATGGCTTAACTCCATTTAGCTGCTTCAGTTTTAGGGTCTTGGTTTTGTGTATGCTGGCTCACAGTCACACTGCCATGGCTTACTGAGACTGACACTTAAATAGAATGGGGCTGTTGTTAATGTTATTAGTAACACTTTTACTTTTCCTACAATGACGGGGACAATGACAATGAGGGGGCGGCAGGAGCTCAGTTTGTAGGGACGTGGCTTGTGTCCCACAGACCACAATATGGAGTGTGGACTGGTAGCTGGAGAAACCCAGTTTCACCTCCTGTACACTGCCGAGGTGCCCAAGAATGGGTGTGTGTGTGTGTGTGTATAAAATAAAAAAAGAGGATAAAGATCAATGTAGGGGATTAATAAAGTATATATCTTCTATCTTACCTTCATGACAAGTCAAAATGTGTGCCGGGAAGAAGGCCTGCTGAATGTGCGTCCACCTAAATATCAGACCATGCTGCGGCATAGGCAGAAAGTGTAAAATATGTACCTCTGCTCACTCGTATTTCCTTTGCTGGTCAGGTGAACGAGGCGGAGGAGGAGCGCCTCCGCAGTGAGCGGGAGCATCAGCGAGTCACACAGCTCTGCCAGGACGCAGAGGCTCGAGTCCAGACCCTCCAGAAAGCCCTGAAGAAGGTCATCCTTAAATCCAAACCATACTTTGAACTCAAAGCACAATTCAATCATATTCTGGAGGTTTGTACCGGCAGTTATTTATTTATTTTTTTAAGATTTAAGATAAATGCACACATTGTGTTCATACTGCAAGCCACAAGTGAATGATTTTGCTTTTGTGACCAAGAGGGAACAGGGACACAGGCTCTGAATGACGACTCCACATGATTTAGCAGCTTTTTGAATGATGTACTTTACCTGTAGCTAGTTTCAGCTGCAGTGTTATAGCAGAGTGTGCACAATGTGTCTGTTGATGTTTTGGCCTGCAGCTGTGCAGCCACTTTGAGTTGCTTTATTTTCCCAGTCAAATTTTGTGAAGGCCAAGTTGAGATGCAGTGTGTTGAATGGGAAACACTGAGAGTAGTGTGGGTTTTGGAAAACTTTGTATGCTATGTGCTGATGTATATGTGGCACTGATTTGTATTCTTTTATCTTACAAGCTGTGCATGTTTCATGATCAACCTAATTGATGCAATCAGCTGACATAGCTGGCATTTGTTAGCTGTTGTTTCCAAACTGCTACTGATGATGGATTTTAACTAAATAGAACAATGCCTATGTAATTTTATGGAGAAACCTTACTTCTGTTCTGTTCTTCTGTGTGTTGAATATGGGTAGATCTCCAGGATTTTGGGTAGACTTCTCATTTTTATTGCTGAGAGGTAAATTCTCAGATTTGTTGTCGTGTTTGTGGACACAAACAGAAATAAAAAAGTGTTTGCTAACAAGTTCACCATAGTGACTTTATAATGTGATGTCAATGTTGTATTTAAAGCTGTAATAGTATCTTTTTATAAAAATATTTTTGTTATATTTACTGATAGTAGTACATGAGACCAATAACCTGTGGGAAAAAAATGTGGCTCCTCCGGCTCCTCCTAGTGCTCCTAATGGCATTTGCAAGAATCTACGGGGCCTGAACTAAGACAACCAATCAGAGTCAAGAAAGATAATTGGTGCCGAGGCAGAGGTCCGTGACACCATTAGGGTCCACGTCAGCAGCTGTGTGGGAGTTGGCGGGATAGAGAGCGACTAAGCGAACGGCGAGAAAACCAGGCTGTGGGTAAACGGAAGTGACGTAGAATTTATACCGGAAGTTATCCTTTTTCCAGAAGTGGCCTTTTTTCAAAATAAAATTAAAAACACTACTTCCCATTATGATGAATGGTATAGTAAAACTGACAAGAGTAATTTCAGCGTGGTCTTTAAGCTACCATTACCTCAAACATCTTAATCTTTCCTGTGTACAGAGATGGATATTATAGCCTACACGTTTTCCTTTTATTACACAGATGTAACCAATAACAAAAAAGTGTGTTCATTAGATCAGGTTTAGCCTACTTTTTAAAAGATCCAGAGGATCATCAAGGGAACTGCACATCAGAGAATCAAATGAAGGAATTTTGTGTTAAATAAATTTACCCACAAGACATTGACCAATCAGAAATGTAAGTCTAATTTCTCATGAAAATCCAGATTTATAGGGAAAAAGTCACAAAAGGACCTCCGTGCCCATGTATATCATTTCTATATATAAAAAAAATAAATGATAATATAAATAACGAAAGAACCAATTGTTTGGTCTATACTATAAAACCCTCGCTCACTCAGTCAGATGTGTCATTTCTCACAAAAATCCACATGCTGTGTAAGAACTGTTCTCTCTGCAGAAGAAAAATAAAACTATTTGAGACCAGAACTGCTCATCTTTATTAAATATCTATCGTTAAAAAGGTACAGTAAGAACTTGCATTTAGCAGCAGCAGCTGCAGCAACAACAACAACACAATTGGTTCAGAAATCTTTCTGATTGGAGGGCTTTTCTCATTTTCAGTTCAAAGTTCTGAAGCCTTTTTGTGGCCTCTACGCTGAGATTTTGCTGGAGGCAGATTTGAAAGAGGTCCAACTCACTGTCAAAAGGAAGAAAATAGAGTCAATAAACAAACAGTATATTCAATTACTATACACTTCATTATATATGAAAACATCTATAGTATCCATTAAAAAATATATAAAAATACATTAACAGATAGTATTTCTATGGCAGTCTTTGTGTATTATTTTGCGCGAAGAACTTCAACGAAGCATTTTTTATTAGATAGTAGTAGTAGTTCAAACTAGCAGAATGCTAGTTAGCTCGTAGTTAGCTAGGCAACATTATCGACGTAGCAAAGCTTACCTTGTTTTTAAATGTCGCCATTATTTGGCACGAGGACTGTGGGATGCTACTCAAATTCCCACGTGTCCTCAAAAATAAGTAATTTCTGGTATTCTACGTCACTTCCGTCATGCCAGGGGTACTTCCATCAAGCCAGAGGCTTGTGTCACGTCAGGGGCTTCCGCTCCGGGGCTGCAGCTGGATGCTACTCAGCAGGCCAGCTCAGACTGCAGACCATCACCTCTGACCTGGAAAAGTGTGACTCAGTGAAGCACCTGGGTGACCTGAGCTTTAAAAATCACCGTGACATAATTTTTGACTGTAAAATGGGATGACTAATTGTGAATATAGGAAAGGATAATAAAGTTTAAACAGTTTTTATAAGTGGTAGGCTTAAACCAAAATAAGTTAAAGTAAAAATGACCAACTTAAAAGTTACTCAGCTGCTCCATCAAAGTTTGATAAGTTCCATAATAGTTTGGGTATTTTGAAGTTGGCTTGTATGAGGTACTTATCCATAGTGTATTACCTGCAGTAGATGGCCTTCTGCAGACAGGGATCATGGCACAGAAGCAGAGCTATGCACTGCTGTGGACGGGGGCAGCAGACAAATGTACGTTAGCCACATAAAAAAGGCCCACCACAACAAAAGGTTAGGCCTGTTTTTTTTACGTGGCTAAAATATATTTTTCTGCTGACCCCCTCTACATCGTCTACTATAGGTAACACACACAAGTATCTCATGCAACCACACTTTAAAAAATCTGAACCGGTTTAACTGTCAAGTGCCTGGAGAAAGTTCAATGTATCACTATACACGACTTGCTTTTGATACCAGATACCTTTCTCCATTCAATTCTCCACTGCAGATATTACCCCCTCAATGTGGTTGCCAGTAATTTAGCACAACCCAAACAAAATACCCTAATCCTAATACTTGTGGCATTTTTATCCATTTTTACAAGGACATTTCTGTGCCGTTTTGTCAAGCTAGCAATGTGTTTACACAGGGATGCATACAGTGCCGTACCATGCAGTTGAAATGAGGCAAAAGAGCGTTGCTAACTGTGTTAATTGTTTTTCAGGAACAAAAGGCTAAAGTAGTACAGCTGGAGGAACAGGTGGCAAAAGTAAAAACACGTTACTCTGTGGCCCTTCGGAACCTGGAACAGATCAGCGAGCAGATCCATGCGCAGAGGGGGCGAATTGGGGCCAGCAGGGGAAGTCCTGCAGTCTGCGGGGGACGGAGCTCCCCTGTAGGTGCCGAGGCAGAGGTCCGTGCCACCATCGGGGTCCACGTCAGCACCTGTGTGGGAGTCGGCGGGATAGAGAGCGACTGGGCGGACGGCGAGAAAACCAGGCTGTGGGTAGAGAGGCACAGAGAGAGTGGCTGGGGCCAGAGGGAGCGGCTGGAGGTGGAGCAGGCCAGCTCAGACTGCATGTCAGTCATCAGCCTGCAGACTATCGCCTCTGACCTGGAAAAGTGTGACTCAGTGGAGCACCTGGGTGACCTGAGTGATGCCGGGAGTGTGCTGGGTGAAGAATGGGACTGCGACAGGAAGCCTAATGAGAGGCCAGTCAGTAGGGTGGTGACCGAGGGGCCCCAACAGGAGGAAGCCCATCAGGAGAAGGCAGCCGTTAGTAAAGAGAAGCAGGGGAGCGTCATAAAGCAGCACCACAGGAGCGTTAGTCTATGATAGTCAGTAGGAGGAAGCTGATGACTGACGAGTGAGGCTCATGGCGAGCATATGATAAGTGATCAGAGAGGAAATTAGAGGAGAGAGAAACTGACTGAGAGCGCCGCGCTGACACTGCAGTTAGGAATATCAGGCAGGTACATTGGCTGCACACTAATGAATTGCTATGTGACAGCAATAAACAGAGAGCAGTCCTGCAGAGAGCACTGACCTGCCTTCATGCTTGTACTGCAGTCTGCCCCACATGCCAAAACATCAACACAAGATTTCATGCTCTTTGTGCAAACTAATCCCTGTCGAGTACAAACAGGCAATTTAGAAGCATGATAGAACACATGCTAGTTGTCGTCAAGTCAAGTCGTCTTCTGTGCTGGCATAGTATCAACTTTAAGTTCTGATAACACTGGATTCACTAAAGTAACTGCTGAGATCTGGGAACACGGGTTCTAAACAAGTTTATCACCTAAACCTTATTTGGTGGTCAAACTGTAAGTGAGTTCACCTGAAATGTTGTTAATAAAATGTATAGTATGTAGTGTTGGGACTAATTATATTATTGTGTATTGTGAAAAAAACACTCATAATACTATCACAGGCAAACTTCAACCAATCAGCGTAGTCAAACCCTTACTGAAGTTAGTTGGAAGAAGAGAGAAAACCTCTTTTCCATGGAAAGCCTTCAGTGCCGTTCTTTGCTCTTGTTCCAAAGAAGAAATGCACTGCATCTGCACTAACCTCTTTAGCAGCTGTCATTGTTGTTTTTCAAGCAGTCACTTCTCACGCATACACCTAAGAGTTACTACAGCCACTGTGGTTGGACACAAGTGCATAGCTTGAAGCCTGGCAAGATGGATTCTCACTTGATCTTGGTAGTCCAGCTTTGGGGACTGTAGCTTGAGTTAATTGGAGTGAGCTAACTTTGTTTTGTTTGGACAAGCAACAGGAGCGTTTGCCCGGGGCGTGAGATTAGGGTCAACATATCCCAGCTATTATACCTTGACCAACTATTTTGTCTCTGCGTTCTGTGTATGCTATATGCATGGGAGCATGGGGGCATGGGAGGCATAATTTTGATAAACCCTACAAATGGAATAAAAAGTTTGGTACAGGCCTTATCTTCTATCACTATAAAAGTATTTTTATTTAAAATAATGTGGCCAAATACTACTTTTTCTGTCTTATAAAGGGACCAGCCATATGGCCTCAGCTTTATTCATTAACATGTAAATAAGATCATTAACTAAGTGCAGTTTGATGGAGATATTGTTTTTGCTGCAGAGATAGTTTACCTTTACTGTCTGATGCAAGATCTCTGCATTATCAATTACTACAACCTCTAATTTCATGGCGGTGAGTAGTATGTGCTGCATCAGTGGTAGCATGTGCAAAGCTGCTGGTAATGAGACTGATAACGTAGAGCTTAAACATAATAAAATAATGAGCTGTCAGCCTCCAGACAAACTAATATTTACCCTCAGTAGCTGACAGATACAGGAGGAAAAGCTCATTTTGTTAGGTATTTTTTTTATTTTTCAGTGACTTTAACCAGTTCCATTACTTTGATCAGGGAGGTGCATTCTTCACATTGGGAACATACATCCATGACGGGAGCCATGTCACACCTCAGCAAAGGTGTGATCTAACCCCAACCCTAACCCGCCCAAAGATTGTCCTAGTTAACTAGTAGTCTTTACATAAAGCCTAGTATTAGCCTAATATTCGCCTAGTCATAGCACTTTTATTATATTAATTAAATTATTCAAATATATAGATTTTAACAGCCGTCTGTTAAATGAAACGGAAAAAGTGGTAATGATTCTGAATGTATCAGAACAACCAACAAGGAGACTGAACATTCAGTTCATTTACTTCAACACAGTATAACATCACACAGTTTTATTGTTCAAAACAATTCCAGCCTTTCTAAAACAAATACTGGCAGACTTATTAACACGATGGATGATTAACAGTTACTTACTAATTAATTTGCTACAAACCAGCTCCTCTTCCTCCCGTTTCATGCCTCTCCTGTCCCTGCCTGAACATGCCTGTCTTCCCCCACAGGAGTGATAGTCTTGTGGGCCTGACCTGCTACGGCTCTGTCGCTCATTCCAGCCGTGGCAGTATTTCCCATTGGGCCCTGTGCTCCTATGCTAGTAGTGTTTAAACTCCGCCTGTCCTTCGAGCTCCAAGTCCGGGTAAAGTCAGCTTATAGAACTGCTAACTAGCTAGTACAGTTAGCAACAGTTCACCGGTAAGAGCCTCCCTGTGTTACAAGAGGAAAGGTCCGTTTTGCAACAGTCTCCTGATAGTTTGGTCCCGGTGACAAGCAGCTCCCGTTTTTGTTTTTCTGTGACTATCTGACTAATGCAGAGTGGGTCGTCTAACACCCTGTTCACATATGCCGCCTGAACAGTGTGTAGTGTCTCCTGCGCTTGACAGCTCCCACGCACGCTGTGTTCACACCGAGAGCGTGTTGTGCAATGCTGCCACGCCTATGTATATAAACTTTTCCCTGTATAATGTCCATGAAAAATCTAAAAATCCCTATCATTTAATTTTGAATGCCATATACTTTAAATGTGGTAACCAGAAAGCATGTGTGGTTTGTTTACCCGAGAGAGTGAGCGAGAGAGAGACAGCCAGATACTGCCCATGATCCGGCTCACTTACAGAAATTCTTCTACAAATTATTTTCAAGTGAAGTCGTGTTAAATAAAAGATTACTACAGTGCTTTTACTTTGAAAAATGTAAACTCTACTGAAATATATGGATATGACTACCAACATATCCTTTCACTTTACTCTTGGGCTCATAGTAAAAAATAGGCAAGACCATGACTCTCTAGTGAAGCCTTGCTGCAGACACAGCTGAGATGCGTATGAGACGTGACCACTCTAATTTGTTAACATGGGCGCCAAAATAAAAATCAAGACATTCTGCCACGCAGACGTGGGCAGTCTGAATAAGCCTTAAGACTCTTCTCAGCAACTAACAGTTAAGTCGACTGTTAACGGGCAGCTATACAAAATGTATAGTCTATAAGTGCAAGACTTTTAGAAGTAGTTTGCCTCGTTGTCCAGCAGAGGGCCCTTCATCATCACCTTGATCTATGGCATGCCCTATTGGCCTCTCAGTAAACTAAGCTAATAATCTTATGTTGTTGTGAAACTGGAGGAGACTAGCGAGCAAAGCATGGAGCAAAGCCGTCCTGAGCGGACAATCGTGACACCAAAGCTTCTGAGAAGCTTCTGTCAATTTTGTACAAAGCAGCTGTCTAACTCTACAGCCACAACAAATGTGCGACTTATGTTGATGTTATGTTTTCCTGTATGGCGTTATGCAGTTGTACTATGGGTTTTGAGATAATTCGTTCAAATAAATTGCACGCCATTTCAAGTTTGTTCGAAAAAAAAAAATTTGAAAAAGGAACAGCCATACCTGTCAGCCCAATAGATCATCTGATACAAACTTATATCAAACAAAACCAATTTACTAATTAACTAACCTTCTATCTATCAGCCGACATCATCATTAAGTTGCTGTTCCATTTCCTCCTGTTTACTGCCATGAAACTAGAGGCCTAGGTCTCTGCTATTGCACATTTTTTTTGCACATATTTGCACAGTTATGCCGATGGAAATGGCCAAATGTTTGATAAGTTGGTGATTTATTTTTATTTAAAGTGCCTATGACTCCTAATAATTGGGTTTGGTTAGCCAAAAATCTAAGAGGTTGATGCTACACAGTTACATTAAAAAAAAAGAATAGAAATAGTAGAATATAATATAATATAATAGAATTATTTAAAGGAGCTTAAGTGAAACCAGGAGAGTCTGTTTCAACTGAGAGAGCTTATAGTCTGTAATTAATTCTTAGTTTTTTATATTATGTTGTGTTATGTTGTATATTATTTATTATAATAATTGTTATGTTTAAGGTAAATCCAAGCTGTATGATTTAAGCGGCAATGTTTGATACTGATGATAGACATATATTTTGTATCCGTTGTCCTCAAATGTAAATACAGAAAGTTCCCAGAGTTCAGTGTTTCTCCCAGAAGATTGTTATCAGTTTCATGTTTGAAATAGTTCCACATTTATGTTTGTGTATGAATTATGCAAAAGAGATTTGTGTTGTGTGTTTTGAACAGTCAGGCTAGCTGTTACTTCATGTTTACAGTCTTTATGCTAAACTAGGGTATCCTGATTCCAGTTCCATACAGACATGAGATTAATATCCATTTTAACATCTCACTCATAAAAAGGAAAAGTCACTGCAGGTTTTGAATTTTCCATCAGTACAGAGTAGGATGATACTAACAGGTATCTGACTTTCAATAAAAGTCCAATATCAGCCTGACATATTGGGAAAATTATAAATCAGTGTAATCCTAATTCTAGTAGGCTAATGTGTAACTGAACTCTAACTAAAATGGAAGGAGTCTGTCTGCATGTCAGCCCTTTTCGGACAAGCTGAGAAAAATCGCCCTGCAGTTCTAGACTGCATATAATATCATCATCACCACCAGTCACTACTATTAGTGTAGTTGTTGCTACTGTTGTTGCTGTGCACCTTTGTCTTCTGTCTTTACCTCTGTCTCTGTCCTTCTGTCTTTACCTCTCTCTCTCTCTCTCTCTCTCTCTCTCTCTCTCTCGAGCCAGACAGCCACCCACCTCGAGCCGGGGTCTTTCCGAGGTTTATGCCTCTAAAAAGGAAGTTTTTCCTTGCCCCCGTCCCCAAGTGCTCGCTCATAGTGGGAACTGTTGGGTCTCTAAATAATTTTATAGAGTACGGTCTAGACCTGCTCTATTTGAAAAGTGTCCTGAGTTAACTTCTGTTATGAATTGGCGCTATAAATTTAATTGAAATAATTGTTGTATTGTATTATTGTTTTCATTAGTTTTATAAATCACCCTGAAAAGAAGAATCGTTGTGTTTTTGTTACGCTTAGAAATAAAGCCACATTGAACAGTCATATTTCTAGCAGTAGCCCAAGAATGGTCCTTTGAGCACAATTATTTAGCAAGTTGTATTCCTCGAGGATTCAATTTTATTTTTGAACAAATACAGTGCTCTCAGTCCAAATCCAAAAATGTTAATAAAACCTCAAACCTGAGTATTAACAAAGGAAAAGGAGAATATTATGTTTGCACAATATTAGGCAACTATTAGTGTGCAAAAAATTTTTTTATTAAACTAAAACTTTTCCCATCTCATCAACTTGTTATTTAATTTTATTAGAGTAAGAAAACAAAAAAACAACTCCAAATATACAAATAAAACATTTCAACAAATATTCCGTGACCAATTATAGCCACCCCTTATTTAAAAATATACTGATCATGAGCCTTCCATTCATGGAGTCTGTTAGTTTCTTGATCTGTTGATGATCAACCTTTTCATGCAGCAGCAACACAGCCTCCAAGTGCTGTTGCAAGAGTTGTATTGTCTTCCTCACCTGTAAAATCATCACCATTTTAAGAAGGCCCACCCCAAGTGTCAGTAGGGGGTTTAGGTCAGGTTGAGGAAGGGGGGGCCCAATGTCATATTACTGTCACCTTTAAAGGCCCTTTGCCCCCTGGCTACGCCACCCAGTGGAGTACTTGATGCTGTGATGGAGCATTGTCCTGCAATTAAAATCATGGCCTTCTTGAATGATGTAGACTTTTCCCTGTACCACCCCTGCCAATGAAGAAAGTATCTTTCTAACAACTGGCAGTAGGGTTTGGGAGATGTTTTAAATGCCATCTTCAAAACCCGAAAAGGTCGCAACTACTCCATCCCCCAGAATAATAGCAGGCCCATACCCAGTACCCCACCTTTACCTTCTGGCGTCTGACCTTTGAAGTGAAGCTCTGTGCATTTAGTGATCCCAGGCCACAGCCCCATCCCATCTGGTCCATCCCAAAGGAGTCACTTTCATAATGCACCTTGTACTTCTGGACACTCCCCAGGTAGGTTGCATTTCTGGAATATGGCCAGCACTGGAGGTTAAGGATTTTCCTGGTAGGTTCAGGTTTTAATTTCTTCTCCAAGTCTTTAGGGCAGTTAATTTGTGTCTTTTTTTCCCAATGTTTTTTCCCGACCCTGTTTGACTAATTTGGCTACAAAAACGCTTTCATTGTCAGTGATGCACGCCTCCAAATACCTTAGCTACTTCAAAGAGTGCTGTATCCTTTGAAAGGTTTTGCATTTTTTTACATTCAGAGTTTGTGAAATCTCTTTTTCACGCCAGTGGTATTTAACCCAAATTGGCTCTTGATGCTCTGCTATCAAAAGTATGAATGTGTGTGACAGGCCCTTAGTATTCTGTTCGGGTGAGCAGTTGGCACCTTGCATGGCAGACTTGCCATCAGTGGTGAATAGGTCAATGTGATGTAGTGTAAATCTTTGAGGGTTGAAAGATTAGAAATTCAATTCAGTTTTTTTGTATAGCGCCAAATTCATAACAAAAGTTATCTCAGGACCTTTTCAAAATAGAGAAGTCTAGACCGTACTCCTTATAAAATTATTTACAGAGACCCAACAGTTCCCACCATGAGTAAGCACTTGGCGACAGCAACAAGGAAAAATGTCCTTTAATGAGGCAGAAACCTAGGACAGACCCCGGCTCTAGGTGGGTGGCCAGAAAGGCGCTATATAAGTACCGTCCATTGATATGGTTTAAAAAAGGAAAACAAAAACTGATGCATGGGTCTGGAACTGCAGGGGCTCTCTGGCTCTGCAGGTCGATGATATTAAGAAAGCCGTAAGCATCAACACTGGAGGCAAAGCAATCGGCCCCTTCGCAACAGGCACATTTTGAACTGATGCTGCACTGATTTAATTTAAGGAAATTAAGGTAATTTCTTAAAGGAACATCATATTTGTTGTAACCCAACAGGAAGTAAATGACGGGTTTTTACTAATGTGTGTGTTTTAAACTTCTCTCATTTGACTTTACACATTTACATTAGTTACTACATGTAGAAGCAGTGACAGCTTAAGAGTACTTGAACTTATTGTGCGTGTTTTGATTTCATTTAGAAGTGTGTTTGCAATACTGTGTTTGCACTTGATTTCTTTGTTAAGGATTATTTAATGACTTCATCCTAACTCCTGGTTTACAGCTCTTCTGTACAAAACATTGTGTTTGTTTAGCTTTAATGTACAGTTTTAAGAGTTACAGATGTATAGAATTAATAGTATTAAATATGCACCTTGTTTAACCTGCAAATGTTATGTTATGGTACTTTATTATTAAAAAGTTACACCCATGTTGTTATGGGGAGATATTAAGGTTTAGGCCAATTAACATTTAAGCATGTAAGTTGGGATGCCAAGTGCCAATTTAATGTCTTAGCTGTGCAGTTTGAATTTCCTGGGTATTCATTTTTAAAACACATAAAGTGTATATAACATAGCTTTGCTACTCTGTATTTAATAAATGTGAATGAGAAAAGGTGCAGAGATGGATATCAGAAGTGAAATGTATAGTGAACTGTTTCCTGTTGATAGAAAATGGCCTCAGGCAGGATAGCTGTGACACAATCCAGTCATTTACCTGACCTGAGCATACACCAACATACACACCCAGCCACCATGAATGTTCAGCTGTGTGAAGGTGAGAACTTTTCATGTGAACAACTGAGTGCAACACTATGAATGCTTTCTATTAGAGACGGTCTGAAAACAGGCGCCGTTATTTCCATATTGAAACAACAATACGTCTCCCACATCTCAATGATGGTTAGCCTTTCACTGTACAAACCAGTTCTTTTCTAGCATAACCTGGCTCTTAGGCTTAAGTCTTTGCTTCAGTGACCCAGGTTTTAATTCCAACCTGTGGCTCTTAAAATTAGATAAAATATCCAAAAACACTGAATCCTATACTTCCATAATGCAACTCAGTAGTGTCGTTCTGACAGAACCTCATTGGGTCACAGTTTTCAAGCCTAACCTGAGAATACTTAGAGCTGCAGTAGGTAATTATCGCTGTGTTCACTGTGTTTCTGACAGTAGTACATGAGACAGATCATCTGTGAAAAAATCTGGTTCCTCTGGATCTTCCTAGTGCTACTAATGGCATTTGCAAGAATCTATTGTGCCTGAACAAAAACAACCAGTCAGAGCCAAGAAAGAAAGTTCATTGTTAAGTCTCGTTCCCAGGGCGTCAAATTGTCAGTATTTGATACTCTACAGGGTTCACCATGTTGAACCGCCATGTTTCTACAGTATCCCAGAACTGACTAACCTAACCTAAACCTACACACTGGTCCTTTAACAATTAACCATCCTTTATTATTTATTTATATATTTATTATTATTATACAGGATTCCAAAATTGTCAGGGATGACAGGAAGAGCCCTGTGTGGGGCCTGTAATTGTGACTGTGATTGGCCATGATTGTCTCAACTATTAAGAGACAACTAATTGTCCACCTGTAATGTATGATAATGGATTCTTTCGGATCCCACCCATGTATCCATGTGTGCCACTAGTGCACCAGGCGAGCCTGGCCACAGAAGTACCAGTGGTCCCAACACACTGGGCAGGGCACATCTATGCCTCTGAATTCATGAAAATAGAGCCTGAAGAGTTTATAGTTTGCTTCCGAGTAAGACACATTGCACTAGCCAGTAGGTGTCAGAGCATGTGTGGTACATAACTGCAAGCCACATACTAATACTAGGTTGCGGCAGGTACTGAACCCTCTTGTCAAATAGATAGATAGATAGATACTTTATTTATCCCGAGGGAAATTCAAGAAATGCTGTGAAATATAACACATTTATTTAGATTGATTTAAAAATAACATGTTGAAAAATGGGAATTACGCGTATAATTGAATCTGTCCTGACTACATTTTAGACTCAAGTTCAGTGAAAAAAGACGTATTCGGTAAAATGTGTGAAGATTTGGAAATTTGGAAACTATTTATTGATTCTCAAGGACACTTTTCAAATAAAGCAGGTCTAGACCAAACTCCTTATAAATAGTAATAATAATAATAATAATAATATCAGTAATATTAGCAGTGGGAGTCAAGCAGGACCATGGCAGCAGGCACCACCATGATCCATGAAAATGTGGAGAGGGTGTCTGCCTCCCGAACCAAAAACTGGAAGCTGGTTCCACCAGGAGAGGAGCTTGGTAACTGAAGGCTCTGGCTCCTGTTCTATTTTAGAGACTATTTGATATTTCTATCCAATGCTTTATAATGTGCCACAATAATGTAATGGTTTTGAGTTCAAATATCTTCTTTTGCTTTTCCAATGAAATATCGATATATGTGATTGTTTGTGATTAAATCAACATATACTTCTGCCACACTTTAAAGTGTCAGTGCCACCCTCTGGACAGCCAATTAATATTTCTCTAAATCCCCCCTGTTTCAGATGTATATTATTCTTCAATCAGGACATGGTCAGACTAGCGTAGCATAGGCACTGGAAGCCGGAGGAAACAGTAAGCCTGGCTCTGAATAATCACTATATATAGTATTTCCCAAAATGTTGAACTATTTCTGACTGAGATGAGCCTATTCCAACTACAACTAAACTCCCACTGCACATCCAAGGTAAACGTGGAGGAGAGACAAGACCATTCTCTGAGTCACATTAACCTTTATTTAAAAACAAATCTACTTTTTCACTTTTACTGAGAACCAGTGGATTCTACAGCCACTACGACCTTTTCAGATGGCTATCTGTTTTCAGCCTGTGATTCATGTACAGAGAGTTCTCCAGTCTGTGTCTATGAAGAGCCAAATGTGGCTCCTA